GATACGGTCGACCACGCTATCCTCCTCTACCGCTTGTCCTCCCACCTCAACCTTCAAGGCCCTGTCCTTGAGTGGTTTAGGTCCTACCTCTCCCACCGTCTTCATTTTGTTTCCACAAACGGCTTTTCCTCCAGCCCCCGCACTGTCTCGTGCGGTGTCCCTCAGGGCTCTGTCCTCGGTCCCCTCCTCTTCACCCTCTATATGCTCCCCCTTGGTGACATCATCCGCAGACATGGGGTTAACTTCCACATGTATGCGATGACACCCAACTCTACCTTTCCTCCTCTACCCTCAACTCCACGACCACCGATGTCCTGACAGCTGCCTGTCCGACATCGAGTCCTGGACGAGAGACAACTTTCTTCAGCTCAACGTGCGCAAAACTGAGGCCCTCCTGATTGGCTCACGTCAGCGCCTCCGCACCTCAGGCGCTGACAGCATCAGCATCCAAGGCTGCACTCTCCACCTCTCAAAGCCGTCAGGAACCTCGGTGTTCTGTTCGACCCTGAGCTGTCCTTTCTTCCTCATATCCGCACCACAACTGGCACCGCCTTCCATCACCTCCGGAATATCGCCAGACTATGGCACTACCTCACCCCTCACGCTGCTGAAACTCTGGTCCACGCCTTTATCACCTCAAGGCTGGACTATGGGAACTCTCTCCTCGCCGGCCTTCCCGGCACCTCCCTCCACAAGCTGCAGGTCATTCAGAACTCTGCAGCTCGTGTACTGTCCCGCACCAGGCTTCGGGACCACATCACTCCCACCCTCGCTCGCCTCCACTGGCTCCCCATCCCCCAGAGGATCGAATTCAAGATCCTCATCCTCACCTACAAGGCCATTCACGGCCTTGCTCCCCTCCTACCTCTCCGACCTACCTATCCCCTACTTACCTGCCCGTACCCTCCGTTCCTCTGGCTCCGGGTCTGCTCCACATCCCCCGCCCAACCGCCCTACCATCGATGGCCGGGCCTTCAGCCTCTTAGCCCCCAGGCTCTGGAACTCCATCCCCCAGTGCCTTCGCCGCCTCCTCCCTTTCCTCCTTCAAGGCCGGTCTCAAGACCTTTCTCTTCGACCGTGCCTTCAGCTCCCCCTCGACTCTCTACCCCCTCCTCGCTCCCTCCCTCCCCTCACCCTGACCATTTCCCCCTGCTCGGGTCCCGACCCAACTGTCCAGCGCCTTGGGACGTCCTCCCGACGTGAAAGGCGCTATATAAATGAAATCTTGTTGTTGTTGTTGTAGTCAATTGCGCACAGCAGTATCCAACAAACGGTTGTGAATTGAGTGACCAAATTATTATTTTTTTTGAAGGGGATCGCCAATCGACTGACAATCAGGCTCCTACTTATGTGCCAGGTGGTTATTTAGAGGCTCTGACCAATCTGCTAAAAAGATTCCAATAACAAATAACAATCTTTACATTTGAAATCCTTGTGAGGTAAGTCGGAAGCGGCAATGTGAGGTGGAGGAAAAGCAGTCTCGGTCAGGGACTGAATGTGGAGTAAAAAGTATGACTATTAAAAGAAGTTTACTTCAATCTGTTCCAATACATGGAATTAAGCATTATTCCTTTCAGCACTTGGGCTTACCAAATCTCATCATTGCTGAGCAGCACCTTATTCTGGTTAACCAATTCAATTGAGTTTCTTTGAAATAATGCATTGACTACCATTCTCTATCACACATAATACTGTAGTACGATATGTTTTTGTCTTGGTGATTCCTCACACAACAGGCATTAAGTTGAATCTCCGCCAAAATTGGGGTGTGAGAGAGAAAGTAAAAACTTAGTGAGTGAACAACCTCAGATACCTGTAGCAGTGACCAGACTGGGATAAGGGAGGGATTATGTTCCCTGTAGATCCTATGAGCTAAAAACAATAGTTGAGGGAGATGGCGGGTGGATTAAACATATTGAAACACGTTCAAAACGGAGAAGGAAAAGATGTTAAGTCAGCAAACTTAACAGTTTCATTTTCACGTATGATCGGCAATCGCTCCGGCTCTCTGAGATGGGGATATTTTAATTCTTTTTAAAGTCTTGAGTTTGGCGGATTCTTTTTTACAGTGTATTCCGTGAAGCGCTTTCAGACATCTAAAAGACGTGGAAAGCACTACACCAAATGCAAGGATTATTATTATTATTCTTTGGCCCCAAACAAATCCTTGTATTGAGCACAGTAAAGCCCTAGATGTGGGCTGACGTCTTAACCCGGGTCTTCGGGAGAGGAGAGAGAAAGAAAGGGAGAGGGAGAAAGAAAGCGAAGGGGGGAGAGAGAGAGAGGGGGGGAAGAGAGAGAGAGAGAAAGAAGATGAGAAGAGGGAGAGAAAGAAAGAGGGAGGGAGAAAGGAGAGAAAGTGTGAGGAGCGATAAGAAGAAGGGGGAAAAGAAAGGCGAGAGAGAAAGAAAGAGGGAGGGAGAAAGGAAAGTGTGAGGAGCGATAAAGAAGGGGGGAAAGAAAGGAGAGAGAAAGAAAGAGGGAGAGAGAGCGAAAGAACGAAATAGAAAAAAAGAGGAGAGAGACAAAGAGGAGAAAGGAGAGGCGAAAGAGGAGGGAGAAAGAAGGAGAAGAGAGAGAGAGAAAGGGGAGAGAAAGGAGAGAGAGAAAGAAGGTGAGAAAAGCAGAGAGGGAGAGAGAGGTGAGAAGAGCAGAGAGGGAGAGAGAGAAGGTGAGAAAAGCAGAGAGGGAGAAGGTGAGAAAAGCAGAGAGGGAGAGAGAAGGTGAGAAGAGCAGAGAGGGAGAGGGAGAGAAGGTGAGAAGAGCAGAGAGGGAGAGGGAGAGAAGGTGAGAAGAGCAGAGAGGGAGAGAGAGAAGGTGAGAAGAGCAGAGAGGGAGAGAGAAGGTGAGAAGAGCAGAGAGGGAGAGAGAGAAGGTGAGAAAAGCAGAGAGGGAGAGGGAGAAGGTGAGAAAAGCAGAGAGGGAGAGAGAGAAGGTGAGAAGAGCAGAGAGGGAGAGAGAGAAGGTGAGAAGAGCAGAGAGGGAGAGAGAGAAGGTGAGAAGAGCAGAGAGGGAGAGAGAGAAGGTGAGAAAAGCAGAGAGGGAGAGAGAGAAGGTGAGAAGAGCAGAGAGGGAGAGGGAGAAGGTGAGAAGAGCAGAGAGGGAGAGAGGGAGGGCCGGGCCGGGCCGGGCCGGGCTTACCCCGCGATCAACACAATGACTCGGAGCGGATCCTTGGCGACGGTGAGGACGAACAGGGCGAGAGCGGGGCCGAAGGCGATGAAAGTGCAGCCGAAGAAGACGGCCACTGTCATGTCGGGTGTCGGCGAGCGCCGCCGAGCTCACACTGTCACTTCCGTCTGCCCTGCCGCTCCGGCCCGGACATACATGGCTCGGCTCGGCTCGGCTCGACCCGACACCGCGACTACACTGACTAACTGTGAGAGGGAGGGAGGGAGGGAGGGAAGGCCTGACACGGGCCCCGCGCGCGCGCGGGTGGGGGTGATGGGGGGGGATGGGGTGGGGCAGCGCTCGCGCCAACACCAGGGTTTCAAAATGTCGTCGTCCTCGAGACCCCAAAATAACGGTCGACTCTCAGGGAGGAGGAGGAGGAGGAGGAAGACGGAGGGCTCCCTCGGCCGGGCCGGGCCAGGGCGGCGGCTTTTATTGCCTCCAAAATGTGTGTTTTTTTTTAAAAACACGAAATCGTGAGAAGAAGATATAAAAGACAAAGGGTCTTGAGGGAGGGAGGGAGTGAGGGGAGGGAGGGAGTGAGGGGGGAGGGAGTGAGGGGAGGGGAGTGAGGGAGGGCCGGAGGTCGGTCTCCTCATTTAATAATAATAATAATAATAATGATTATAATTCTGATCACTATAATCCAGCATTTGACACAGCGCCTCTTCACGCCGTCGAGACCCCCCCCCTTCAGCCCCTCGCGGAATACACCGCAAAGCGTAGTGACTGTGAATTTCGAGGACGAAACGCGGCGGCGCCCGCCCCTCCCCCCCCCACCCCCCCCCCGCAAACGGGCGCGGGTCGAGTGAGCAAACTACCGAGGCGTTCGCTCGTCGGGGATATGGGCACGAGCTGGGGGTTGGGATGGACGCGGGGTCGAGGGCAGGGAGGGAGCGTGGGGAGGGGGTGGGGGGTAGGAGGTTTGACCAAAAGTGCGGTCGAAGAGCAAGTCTTAAGCCCTAAGGGAGGGCGGGGAGCGAGGCGAAGGGACCGGGGCGCAGTTCCAAAGGGTGGGGGCAGAGGGTCTGTCGATGGTGGGGCCGGGCCGGGCGGAGGACATGGGACGGGCCGGAGTCCGCTGAGCAGAGGGAGCGGACGGGTCGATACGGGGTAAGAACGCCCACGCAGGTAGGGAGGGGCGCAATGATCAGTTAGCATCATCAAGCCTGGATGTGATGAATGTGGGGATGAGTTGACCCAAACCAGCCCCAAAAGCAGCCCAATATTCCGGTTTGTCTCCTGTGTGGAGGGTGGCGGGATGGCTGGCTGGGGTAGGGTAGGTTTCATGGTTTTCTGGGGTGGTGGGGGGGCAGTGACAAAAATAAAGGTTTTGCAGGTTTAAATAAAAAATATTTTAAATCAGGCACCCGCCCAAAGCTGGGTTTTTTTCCACGCATTTTGTTGTTGTTATTGTGCGTGTGAAAGTATTAGTCACAGAGCCAAAGTTTGGGGAACACAGTCTGTGTTAGGGCATTGATGCTCAGGAAGCCCAGGGTAAGCTGCTAAAACCACACAGCTTGCCATTGTGTCCACTGCCTGGCAAGTTTCCTGCTGCTTGTCCAGCGAGGACCACCTTACGTGTTCGGGCTTTGGCTTTCAGAGTTAACAGGAGCAGAGTGGGCAGAATCCATGCCCTTCCCTGCAAGTACTGCTGACAAGTTAGGATGTCTGACTGACCTCAGTAGTACCTTAGTATACTGCGGACTCTGATCTGCCGAGACCACCATAGAGGGTTGACTCAATTCTCACATTCTGTTACCAGACACATCACTTTGGAGCGAGCTCAGTCCCAGTGAGACCCCCACCCCCCTCCTTAGGTTACCATTACCATTTGGTTCATCATTAGCCCACAGGAATATTTATTTTTGAGTTATATATAGGTTTACTATATATTTCTGACTACTAGTATAAACACACATTAAAATGAATGATTCTGGGAACCAACATAATTAATTTCTTAATGACAATGCCTGAGCACAGTGCAACAAAAGTGATGCGTTGTTTTCATTAACACATTCCAGTTTTCGTCGTCCTGACATGAAAGGCGTTATACAAATGTAATTTTGTTTTGTTGTTTTCTTTGTAAGGATTTACATTGTAGTTTCTTCCAGTGTCTACCAATCCACAACAATGTCAACAATTACAGGGAGTCTAAAGAAAGAAAAGCGAACAGACAGTAATTAAAAAATTGTTCCCAAAAACATTATTGCAGCACATTCAAAACTGTAACACTTGTATCTAAATGAGTTCAATGAATGCAGAACTCAGTTTTCCACTATATAAATGCAGTACAGCATTTACATTGGTAAAGGCACAAACTTGGGTAATCCTGATTTCCTTCAGTATTACAGTATAATAGGGTTAATAATCGAGTCTAAAGCATCATTTAAATAACTCAAGGGTCCATAACACATTTCTGTGACCTAACCCATTACATGATTTTCTTGTTTCAAAATGTATTTTGGGCATTTAGAAGGACAGAAATATTTACTAAATTTGCTGGACCCCCACGATCCCCCTACTCACTCCTTCCACTCCACCAACTCTAGCCTCCTTCATGTCCTTCACTAACCATCCCTCACCCCCTGTCAGTGGGTAAACTTTCAAGCAATATGCCCCCACTCTTCGAAATTCCTCTGCTTTGTTCTTTCCCTCCCTGCTTTCAAAACCCATCTATTATCCAGTCTCTGACCTCATCTTTGTTCACCTACTTCCTATCTGTTTTAATCCTTCTTTGTGAAAAGCACTATATAGGTGCAATTTGTTGTTGTTGGATTCCTGCCTGATAGGAACAGAATTCTGCGTTTGATTAAAAATGTATATGCTGTTCAGGTGGCCAATGCACTCAAATCATAACCACTCTAGACAGCTACCTTGTTTGCAACAATCCAATAAACAGAAATGAGTCAGTTATAATCATGAGCAAAATTGTAAAGTTCAATTTATTCTGAATTGTTTCATATTATTCGGGACCAATAATCAAGGAAAAACAAATCTGTTGGGTGCAATTAAATAGCCCAGAAAGAGTGGAGAGACTATTTGTATCTGAAAGTAAATAAACACAGAATGTACTTGCTTTACAATGTGCACTGTATTTAAAAATGTATTTACTTTTTTCAGTTCTGTCCATTTTTTCCTTAATTTCTCTGGCAAGTGTAAGAAAGGCCTGTGAAGGTATAAAGAAGCATGTTAAAAGTACAACTATAACCCAATAAGGTAAAAGAAACGCATGATTCCTTATTTTGCATCCTCCACTTATTGCTGGGAATACAATATGTGGAGGATACTATAAATCAAAGAATGAACAAACTACAAGTTAAGTAATCTTTAGTACAGTTTAAGTATTTATTGATGTTTTTTCTTGAACACAAGGTCTCCGCTTAACAGCAGATTATGGGTTTCAGTACCAAGATAGTGGCTCGATAGTAGCTATTAGAGCCACCAAGATAGTAGCCTTCTCTATTCTGGTTGCTTCATTGGCTCAGACATCTCTGGGGTGGCAGAGAATGTGAAATGTATCCCAATGTGAAATGTATCTTCTTCCAGTTAATCACAATGAAATGCGATTAGAAAACATTTCTTCATACAAAGGGCTGTGAAACCATACATTGCTCCATTCGATCATAGAGGCAGAATTAATAAGGATATTTAAAAGGGAAGAAGATAAATGCTTGGGGAGTAAAATGTATTAAGGTGTATGGTGAAAAGGAGGGGGAAATGGGGTTAAGAGATCTCCCATGATCTAATCAACTGACAGAACAGGCTTGATGGGATTGAATGCCTTGAATGACAATTCCTGCACACACACAAAGCAATTCCCTATGCACTGCGCATTTGTGCTATGGACATAGTTGTGCTATGGATATAGTTTGAGACATCGCGAAGATGTGAAAAGTACTATATCAAATGCAAGGATTATATTATTACACGCAATGCAAGAGAAGTGACATCAGCAGCAACCTGATGACCCAGAATTCAGCCATTTTTCCCGCTTCGTAAAATGCGGCCTTTGAATCCCAACTAATCTTAGTCTGGAAGTCTATTCAGATTTAAACTTTAAAGATGCCATAACTCTGGAGCTGTGGAAAGTTCTTTTTCAGAATTGTGAAAAATTAGCTTCGAAATTAACTGGATTGAAGAATTTTAAGTCAAAAAGACTAGGTGGAATTTTTGATCCACATTTTTTGTAACACACTTTTTGAAAATTCTAACCAACATATGAATCCAGTGGGAGATTTTAGTCAAGCATACAGAGCATAACATTTTATTATGCTATGTTGTTGAATCTTGTAACTCAGTGGTTAGAGCACTCGCCTCACAAACGAGAGGACCTGGATTCGATTCCTGGATGGGGCAAAACATTGGGCAAGTTTCCTTACTCCACACGCCTCTGTTTACCTCGCAGTAAATAGGAACCCGGTTGTTAGTCAATTGGAGGATCGCTTTTCCGGGGGAAATAATTCCTCCAAAAATATATTTTAAAAAATAATAATTTGGTCACTCAAATCACGACCATTTGTGGGACACTGCTATGTGCAATTGGCTGCTGCATTTCATCCATAAAATATAGTCAATTCAATTTAAGGTATATTCTGTGAAGCGCTTTGAGGTGTCTCAAAGACGTGATAAGGAGTTTTATCGAATGCAAGGATTATTATTATTACATTCAATGTTGATCCAACTGTGTAATGAAATGTCAAACTCTTGTCATTGTTCAGCACTCTGAGATGCTATTCCGAGTAAAGGACGCCATATAAAAAGTTATTGTCACTAAATTCTTGTTTGGTTGTTGGAATCGAGATTGTACTTTGAGAAATAATAATACAGAATCGGTGCCTGTTCATTCTTTCTTCATCATTTAATGCTAAATGAATGAACAATGAATAAAAATAGCATGGTGTTTCACTGCAAGAATAAATACAGCTATTAATGCATCTGGAAAACTTGCAAAACACAAAGCAACTTACTTTTTCAACATTTAGGCTTGCTTTCGTGCTTGTCTCGAAAATCCTCATCCCATGTTTCTTTGCTAGCTATATAATTATAAACAGAAAATATGCATCCTTTAGTCTTATCTCCCTTCCTAATACAGTAGAGAACAGAAAATGTCATCTTATAACATTTATATAACAATGTTACAAGATAAAATGTCATCTTTCCATCAAATCTGTTAAATTAAACAGCATGGTGGCACTACATGGATTTCATTCTCAGCTGTACTGCTCGCCAAGAGGACTTCCTGGTACCTGATGTACCGTTAAAGGATCTTGTCGGTTGTTCAATGAGTGATAAATGACTGTCCACTTCAGAGGATCTCTTTGGGGTTCAGTTGACTCCAAGTTGATTCCGCTCTGACAATGAAATTGATCCTCTCGTGGTATTGGTAGACCTATTGCTGATCCAGGCAAGTGAACAGGCACTGTTGATTACAGGCTAATCCAGGCAGCCTGGTTCATCAGCAGAGCCTGAAGGTGCAGAACAATCTTAGGCAGTAGGAATTTTTAACACTCAGCTTCTAGTCACGCAAGCCAAGCCCAAAAGCGTTGGGAGTTCCTAACCCAATGAATAGCAGGAAGTTTGCCAGTCCAGGTTCACAATGGAAAACTGCAGTTTTAACTGATTAAATTGTAGCAGTATCCCAACGTACACTCTGGAGTCCCAAGCCTCGGCTCTTAATAACCTGTGTCCTGTGTCAATGCATTCCAGATGAGCAGAGTGCCTCCCTCTGGGGAATGAGTGTGCACTTCTTTTCCAGACAAAGGGAAATTTCCATGCATATGTGGAAATATCAGTAATTTGGTTTGGATAGTCTTGAATGTGGTGCTGGGCTTTTTTCAGATATCAGACACGCAGTTGGCATAGCTGGATCCAACTTGAGAAAATGTTGGCTCTTGACATTTTGCTAGTTGCATTGGAATACTAAAGTAAGCTTCCAATCAGAAAGCCAACTTTTTACCCTTCATAAAATATAGACTCCCTGGTATCTGTGAGAAGGACATTCATTCCGGAAATATACTTCTATGAATCAAGAAATTTGGGAAACTCAGAGCAGAAGAGCTCAATAAATAAATTCATTAAAATTCTGAAGTGCTGGGAATGCAGCAGAAATTGTGTGACCTTGATTTAGTAATGTTCATGCAAAGTGGTAATCACAGTACTTACATTACAAGTACTGTACTCTATGCTATCCTTTACTGGAATATTATTGCTACTTGGAATATCTTGTGTGTAGCTACAATCCTTCATTTTGCTTTTAATATTGCCTGCATAAACTTCTGTAAATAATTAAATTCTTACCTCTTCTCCTTCTGTCTTGGAAACTTGCCGTGCACTTTCACTCTCACAATTATTTCCAAGAATAATTCTTTCTGTTTTTTTCGCCTGCTGAAAAATATACCCAAAGTAAATTGCAGTCTAGATGGATCTGTGATCCAGTCATAAAACTGAGGTCCCGAGATGTTGAAGATCCCATTGCAAGGTTCAAAAAGAAAAGCAAGTTTCTACCAATATCCTGGCCAACAATCCTTCAGATAAAATTTGTCATTCATACCATGGCTGTTTCTAGGACTTTGAAGTGCATAAATTGGCTGTTCACCTACAAAATACAGTTTCACTTTACAGTAACTCCTATGAAACACTCAAATTCAAGGATTATTATAATCATGATTGCAACTTAGAGCTACATTTCTACTTAAAATTGAATTGCATTAGGAGGGTATTTGACAACTCAAAGACTGATTATATGTTTTTAGAGTATAATTGTGGTAGTTTCATTGATATAAGACCCATGATATTACTTGTTGATACAGATTCTCTTAATTATGTAAACAGCAAACCAATGGAAAGTATTACAACTGATTAGCGATCCACAAGTTAGGCTCCTGTAACCGTTTGCGGTTAACCCAACACATAAAATTAGACCCACTCTTTTTTTCTGAAGTAAGTCATATCTTATCAGGCTTTACCTCAGCAGCATGCTCAATCCACAATGCAAGGTCCTCAAGTGATTTCCTGTTGGTAACGTCATACACAAACATAATTCCCTTAAAAGAAACATAAAGAGACTGTTAACATATGATAAAATAACATGATAAACTAATAATGCATTTGAAAGTAATGTCAAAACCCAAACTAAGCCTCAGAGTCCATCTGTGCTGGAGCCCATCAGTTCTGGAGAATTCTGTACTCTCCATGTCTTAACAATTTTTAGGGCTTTCAGGACACATATTGTGACATTGAAAATTCCCTAAAAATTACATTAATAGTGAAACTCAGAAATAAGCTTGATTTGAACTTGTACTGTATTGAACCACTACAATATACGCTTTCATTCCTTTTAAATTATTTAGTTAAAGATGTCATTTCTTATCTTCCTTACCTACAATAAATAAGGTTGTAGGTTCAAGACTTTGAGCTCATTGTCTTGGCTGGCACTCCAGTGCAATGCCGGGGAAAATCTGCTTTATCGCAGGTGCATTCCTTGGATGAGTCAAACTGAGGTCTTTCTGCCTTTTCAGATGGCTGTTCAAGATCCCATGGCAACATTAGGGTTAGGGTTAGGCCAGGCCAACAATCCCCTAGATCAAATTGGTCATGGCTGTGTGCAAATTGGCTGTCGCTTTCGCCTACAAAATACAGTCGCTGCACATTCTATAGGAAATCCTGTGAAGTTTAACCCTTATAAGGCACTATATCAAATGCAAGTATCATTATTATTAATGAGAGTAAGATATCCAAGCCAACAGCAGATTGTATAGATTGTACAGAACAGTGAAGTTCGGTGGAAGCTCCAGGGAAGTTCCATTCTCTACAAGATACCCATATGAGTGACATACCCATTTTTTAAACTAATTTAAGGATTGGGAGACCCAGTTTTGTACACCAACACTCAGGTTTCTTCCAAGGAATGCTTAACATTGAGCAATATAAACTTAGGAGTTGCAGAATGTTGTTGCAGCACAGAAGTAAGACATTCATTGCTTGAAAAGACTCCAGCTGTGTTCCTTCATATGAGCCACCCAATCTAATAATAATTATCCTTACATTGATATAGTACCTTATATCATTGTCAAGTTGCCTCAATTTTCCTGTGAAGTGTAGTGACTGTGTATTGGTAGGTGAACTCTACCAAATTTGTTCACAGCAACGCCCCACTAAGTCAATAAGTGAGTCAACAATTTTGTTTGGGGAATTGTTGGCCAGGAAACTGGGAGAAACTCCCTCTTTAACCCTGGATCTTTTAATGACCAGCTGAACAGGCAGACAAGGATTTGGTTTAAGTCTCAACCACACCTCCAATAATGCAGCACACACCCGGATCTACATCGGAGTATCAGTCTAGACTGTGAGTTCAAGTCCCCATGTGGAACTTGAACTTACAACCTTCTGACTCAGAGGTGAGAGTGCTACCAACTGAGCCAGGCTGCCACCTAACCCAACTCTTTTTCTCATTCACCAAACCTTTCAATATTCTTAATATTCCTCCTTTTCAGGCATCTCATTCCCTTCTAAAGTAATTTATGCTTTTATGGAAATATCGACAAAAGAGAGAGGGAGAGATTAGAAACTGAACAGAGTACCCTCTAATCTCTTTCATTGGTTGGCACTAGCAGAGAAGGTGAAAACATGCCATCGCTGACCTGCATCTGGCAACTCTTAGTTGCTGATACACATAATAAAATTAGAATAAAATAAAATCAATTAACTAGACAATGTACCTTGGCCCCTCTGAAGTAAGATGAACTGATTGTTTGGAACTTCTCCTGCCCAGCTGTGTCCCTGTAAGAATAAAATAGCTGCTTTTGTGTTATGATAATTTCAGTTTAATGAAAAGCTTGACATGATACATGATTTACAGTCCTGAATAAACCGGGGGCACATTAATTGAAAAGGAAGATTCATTGTGACTGACTCTAGCTGACTGGGAGCCTGAACCGGTAATGGGTGCTCGGGGAATGGGATGGCAGAAAAGGAGTCTGAAAGCAGATCAGGAAGAGAGGTCTTGCTGGTTTTCAAAGTAGGGGAGAGCGGGAGCAAGGCAGAGGGTCTCTGGGATGGAGTTCCAGAGAGTGGGGACATAATAATACTACTTGCATTTTCATATAGCGCCTTATCACAACAACAACAAAATTACATTTGTATAGCGCCTTTCACGTCGGGATGACGTCCCAAGTTGCTGGACAATCAGTGTTTCGGACCTGAGCTAGGGGTTAGGATCGAGGGTGGGGGGGGGGGGGGGAACCGAAGGTGTGGTCGAAAAGGAGGGTCTTGAGATGGGTATTGGAGGGGGTGAGGTGGAGGGACTGCAGGATGGAGTTCCAGAGGGTGGGGGCAGAGTGGCTGAAGGCCCGCCAGCCAATGGTGAGGTGAGCGAGATGGGGGACGTATAGCAGGCCAGAGCCCATTGAGCAGAGGGAGCGGGCAGGTTGGTAGGGGGTTAGGAGATCCAGAGGTAGGGGGTGCAAGGCCATCGAGGGCCTTGAAAGTGAGGACCAGGATTTTAAACTATCAGGCAAGAATGGAGGTGATAGGGTCACGGAGCCTGGTGCGGGAGAGGACACGGGCTGCAGAGTTCTGGATGATCTGCAGCCTATGGAGGGAGGAGTTGGGGAAGCTGACAAGCAGGGAGTTTGCGTGGTCGATCCTGGATGTAATGAATGCATGTGTGAGGGTCTTGGTGGCCTGCAGGGTGAGACAGTGGCGGAGCTGAGCCATGTTGCGGAGGTGGGGAAAGGCATTGAGACGTCTCAAAGCGCTTCATGCTATAAAGTGAATTGACTATATTTTTTGAACGGAATGTGGCAGTCAGCTGTGCACAGTGGTGTCCCACAAAGAGTCGTGGATTGAGTGATCAAATTATTATTTTTTTTAAGGGATGATTACCCCCAGAAAAGTGATTCGACAATCAACTAACAACCAATTCCTACTTACTGCTAGGTAAAACAGGTGCGTGGAGTAAGAAAACCTGCCTAACATTTCACCCTGCCTGGGAATCAAACCCAGGACCTCTTGCTTGCGAGGCAACTGCTCTAACCAATGCGCTACAGAACTCCACAACAGATTGCCTGCAAAGTTCAACCACTTATGGTGGGGCGGATGAGATCGGCAGGGGACATGAAGAAGGCCAGTGATTGCTGAGCACAGGGAGAAGCCGGAGTAGTAGCATCTGCAGGAGGTTACAGACCAAGCTGCTGGTTAGAGGCTGTAAGCTTTTACCAGCATTGGAGGATATGGAGATAGGAAGAGAGTGAGATGAATAAATACTCCATCGCAATCAATCAATGCTAAATAGGATGGAGAAAGTAAACCTAGAACAATACTTTCTGGTATACAGGGCAAGAGGACACAGACTCAGTGTTGTAAAGGGTAACATTAGCTTTTATTCGTAGCTGTTTGTGGGACATTGCATGGGTAAATTAGCTAGCATATATGCCTACAAAAAAATATAGATGTAAGAGTCAATACTTTAAGGCATGTGAAGATGTTCCAACATGATAAGTGTTGTATCAAATGCAAGAATTATAGTATTCTGGATCAAATGGGCTTCTTCATCCAAACCTCTCTTGTGATCTTGTAGCCTAAGATGGGAAACTATACCATTTGCATTTTTTTGCACGTTTGTATAGCACCTTTCACATCAGGAGGACATCCCAAAGGGCAAAACTACTTCTGTTGCAGCTGTGAGAAACCCACCATTTTTTTCAAGAGATAAAAGCCAAGAGAAAAAAAGAAAATTTGGAAATACATATCAGATCAATATTGATCATCAGCATTGAGTTGGGTTAATGCTTCAGGTTTGACCTTTCAACAGAACTGAAAGAGGCTGGAAGACGCTTGGGGATCCCAGAGTGTGCATTGGGGTACTGCTGGAGTTAACCAGCTAAAACCTTACAGTTGATAATATTGTCTGGGAAGCTTTCCTAGAAAGTATTAGGCCGTAGTTTGGCAAGAGTGTTTGCCTACAAAATACACATTAATTGCACTTTAGCACTTTGCAGTGAATCCTGTCAAGGGCTTTGAGATGTCTTCCCAATGTGAAAGGAGCTACAGTATATCAAATGCAAGGATTATTAAAGAAACACAAGAAACAGATACCAGAGGTTATAGTCATTCAGTGAACTACATAACCATTGTAACAAGAGCAGGAAATAAAATGGGTGAAAATTGGAAAGAAATAATGTGGTTCAAATGCCAGAGTCATTGTTCTCAATGGTGAAGTCAAAAATAACAGATGTGTAATCATGACCATTTATTGCCTTTCAGCTAGATATGGATTGAGTCACAAGATGGCAAGATTACAGAAGAGGTTTAGATGAAGAAGGGCCTTTGCCCTATATGATCTCATCCTTCCAGAACACCCAGTCCTAAGTTCACTCATCAGAACAGCAAATTGTTAAATGATATCAGTGGCTTGGCCTACACCACCCTTTCTGATAATCTTTTATAATTTCTGGATAAGTAAGTAATTCCTGGTGTCCATCCTGGAATGCACTTTGCAACCAAGAAGTCATTCTCCTCTTGTTCTGTTTGTTTTCTTGAACATTTTGTTCTGGGTTTACATTTTCAATCCCATTTAAAATCTTATATACCTCTTATAAAGTCCCCTTTAAGAAATCTCATTTGAAGCCCTGAATAGTCCTAGCATGTCTAATTATCGCTCACAGCTTATTCCATAATATGATGTGGACAATAAATTTGACACACCAAATGTTCTTTTCATAAGGCAGCTCTTTTATCGATCAATAAATGTTTTTGTTCAGAATAGTTATCTCTGCCTTCAAATGGCCAGAGACATATCCTCAGCAGAGGACTCCAGCAATGCCCAATAACATCTCAGCCTGGACTCCAGTGGATGTCTCTTCATCTATTGGAGCTTCTACCAATTTAAACATAAAAATGCACTAGCACCTGCAGTACCAAATATAACTAGTTTAACTGCTCCCTTAGCGCCACTTTTTTGATCACCATCTTCATGACTTCGGATGCACTCTACACCTCACTAAGCGAGTACAGAAACTTGGCAACTCGTTTCAACCTCAACTGTCCTTTCTACCCCATATTCGTGCCATGACCTGCTCTGCCTTCCCCCATCTCCAGGACAGTGGAGTCCTCTAGCTCAGTGGTTAGAGCACTCGCTTTGCAAGTGAAAGACTTGGGTTTGATTCCAGCAGGGCGAAATGTTGGACAAGTTTCCTTACTCCACACCCCTCTGTTTACCTAACAGTAAGTAGGAACCCGGTTGTTAGTCGATTGGCGGATCATTTTTCGGGGTAATAAATAATTCCTTCAAAAAATGTACTTTTGAAAATAATAATTTGGTCACTCAATCCACGACTGATTGTGGGACACTGCTGTGCGCAATTAGCTCCCATGTTTCACCCACAAAATATACAGTCAATTCACATTACAGTATAATCTGTGAAGCTCTTTGAGACGTCTCGAAGACGTGATAATGGGCTATATCAAATGCAAGGATTATTACTATTATAGTCCCAGAAAGTTGCAACACTGCAATAAACAACCGCAGCTTAGTTCCCCATCAAAACTATTTTGAAATGAATCACATGGTGGAAACTAAAAACAGGAAAGGATTTCTATTTTAGTTTTTCACAGCCTTAATTCTTCCTTTTTAACTTAACCCAGAGGCTGTTACTCCTCAGCAAATACTGTACATATTCATCTCACTAAGTTTGGGATTCAGATGCCTGAAATTATGATAAATTGAATTTATAATAATAATAATCCTTGCATTTGGTATAGTGCCTTATCACATCTTCGAGCGGTCTCAAAGCGCTTCATAGAATATACTGGAAAGTGAATTGACTTTAAATTTTGTGGGTGAAATTTGAGAATTTTCCACAATTCTGCCCAAATCTCAAGTATTGAAACAAATGGTCAGATAATGGTCTAAGTCTCCAAAAAAAGGTCCCTTCCCCCACCCCAATGAGTTTGCATAGTCGAACCTCGATGTAATGAAATACTCTATAAACTTCAAAACTCTAGAAGTTTTTCTGAACCTCTCCTTTTATAATAATAATCCTTGCATTTGATATAGTGCCCTATCACGTAGTCGAACGTCTCAAAGTGCTTCACAGAATATACCGTAAAGTGAAATGATTGTAAATTTTGTGAGCAAAACACAGCAGTCGATTACACTCAGCAGTGTCCCACAAAAAGGCCTGGATTGAGTGACCAACTTATTATTTTTTTGGAAGGAATTATTACCCCCAGGAAAGTGATCCGCCAATTGACTAACAACCAACAACAACAACAACAAGATTCCATTTATAGAGCGCTTTTCACGTCGGGAGAGACGTCCCAAGGTACTGTACAGTTGGGTCAGGACCCGAGCAGGGGGAAATGGTCAGGGTGAGGGAAGGGAAGGGAGGAGCGAGGAGGGGGTAGAGAGTCGAGAGGGGAGCTGAAGGCACGGTCAAAGAGAAAGGTCTTGAGACCGGCCTTGAAGGAGGAAAGGAGGAGGCAGCGAAGGCACTGAGGGATGGAGTTCCAGAGCCTCGGGCTGAGAGGCTGAAGGCCCGGCCATCGATGGTAGGGCGGTTGGGGCGGGGGATGTGGAGCAGACCGGAGCCAGAGGAACGGAGGGTACGGGCAGGTAAGTAGGGGGATAGTAGGTCGGAGAGGTAGGAGGGAGCAAGGCCATGAATGGCCTTGTAGGTGAGGATGAGGATCTTGAATTCGATCCTCTGGGGGATGGGAGTCAGTGGAGGCGAGCGAGGGTGGGAGTGATGTGGTCGTGAAGTCTGGTGCGGGACAGTACACCGAGCTGCAGAGTTCTGAATGACCTGCAGCTTGTGGAGGGAGGTGCCGGGAAGGCCGACGAGGAGAGAGTTCCCATAGTCCAGCCTTGAGGTGATAAAGGCGTGGACCAGAGTTTCAGCAGCGTGAGGGGTGAGGTAGTGCCGTAGTCTGGTGATATTCCGGAGGTGATGGAAGGCGGTGCCAGTTGTGGCGCGGATATGAGGGAGAAAGGACAACTCAGGGTCGAACAAGTTCCTACTTACTTCCAGGTAAACAGAGAGTACAGAAACCTGCCCACCATTTCATCCTTGACTGTGTATTTTGTGGGCGAAATGCAGTAGCCAATTGCGCACAGTAATGCCCCAGAAACAGAGTAACCAAACTTGTATGTAACACATCATTTTACTTGCCAGATTTGAAGCTTAATCTTCTTCCCATCCAATTCAATGCCTTCGAGTTTAAAATCAACACCTGCAAAAAATGAAAGCTAAAATGAAGAAAGGTAAGCTCTGTGATGCAGTTGCTTGCTGTGCCGAGTTTTTATGTCCTTATTTTCTGCTCTTGAATGTTAAGGCAATTAAAGATATCTCAGTGGTGACACTGCCTTCATAATTACATTATAGTACCGTATACAATGAATGTATTTGCTGAGCTGGGGAGTTCATTGAATTTTACCTTATATAACAACAACTTGCATTTATATAGTGCCCTTCACATGGGGTAGGGTCCGGGAATGCTTCACAGTGACAGAGTCTGACAACGAGCCAGGAGGAGAGGGAGGTGACCATAAGCACGATCAAAAAGGAACGTCTTCAGGCAGAATTTGAAAGTGGAGAGGGAGGATGCAGGGCGGAGGGATTGAGGGAAAGAGTTCCAGAGTTTCAGGGCAAAGTGGCTGAAGGCACGGCCACCGATGGTGGAATGGAGGGCACGAGGGAAGAATAGGAGGCCGGAACCAGCTGAGCAGAGGCAGCGGATGGTGGAGTGGAGGGTAAGCCGGTTGGATAAGTAGGGAGGTGCGAGGGAATGAAGGGATTTGAAAACAAGTGAGAGGATCTTGAAATCGATCCGTTCAGTGATTAGGAGCCAGTGGAGCCTGGCAAAGACTGGTATGATGGAGGTATGAGTTTCATGCAGATGAGTATCCGGAATTAATTAATTAATTAATTGGAATTAATTAATGTATGGTGGAGCTGGGGAGACCAGCGAGGTGGGCATTGGAATAGTCCAGCTGGGTACAGCCAAGATAATAGCATGTGATGATTCAATGTTAAAGCTGTAATGATCCTATTTTCACTATTTATAAACACTTGTGAACAGTAACGACCTGCATTTTTATATTGTTGTGTCACATCAAATACTTTCAAAACGCAATACATCAATAACTTGTCAAGTTTTGTGGCTGCTTTTATTCACAGAATGTTTTAGAAGAAAGAACTTTGAGCAATGATGACTAGACAAAATAGTGCACTTCAACTTTGAAAAGAGATGACTCAGACAGAATGTTACATAGAGTTTTGCAAGATTTTAAATGGGATTAGGAAAGTAAATCCAGAACAGTACTTTGAGATAAGTCAAAGCAGCAGAACAAGCTGGCACAGGTTTGCAAAGGGCAATTTCAGGACAGGCAGTAGGAAACATCTCAACGATGTGATAAGGCTCTATATCAAATGTAAGAATTATTATTATTATTACATTTAACAAGTAGAACAGGTTACCAGAAAGAATGATTGAGGCTAGGATGCTGGACTTACTTAAAATAAGCTTTATGTTTTAATGGGTGAAAGATAATGTAGAAGGATCTAGACGCAGGAGATTAAATAGGTCAAAGGACTTTCTTGATCTCAACCCTTGCTTTGTGTACATCATCCTTTTCGTAAATGTTGATTAGTTGACAAACAGGAAAACCACAGCATTGACGAGGCTTATGAGCTCACTAAAGAAAGTGACAGGACGATTGAGGAAACAGCAAAACAGAGCCTTACACACATCCGACCTACACATTCTGGTTTCTTATCTACCACACATTCGCCTGCAACAATAACAAATTACATTTGGATAGCGCCTTTCATGTCAGGAAGACATACCAAGGCATTGGACAGTCAGGGATCCGCACCCAAGCTGGTGGTTGAAGATGAGAACGAGGATTTTGAACTCTATCCTCAGGGATGGGGAGCCAGTGGAGCCGAGTGAGGGTGGGAATGATAGGGTCACTGAGCCTGGTGCAGGAGAGGACATGAGCTGCAGAGTTCTGGATGATCTGCAGCTTGTGGAAGGAAGAGTTAGGAATCCCGACAAGCAGGGAGTTGGCATAGTTGAACCTGGATATGATGAATGCATGAATAAGGGTTTCAGTGGTGGAGGGTGAGGCAGTGGTGGAGTTGGGTGATGTTGAGGAGGTGGGTAATGCAGAGCGAGCGGGTCATGGCATGGATGTGGGCGAAAACCATAGCTGTTACATGGTTGATGAACTCACCAAAGAAAGCAAAAGGAAGATTGAGGAAACAGCAAAACAGGACATTACACCCAACCGACCTACATATTCTGTTTTTTTATCTACCACACATTCGTTTGAAGAAATACAGATACTTCACTTTACATTAAATCCTGTGAAGCTCTTTAAAACATCCTCCCAACATGAAAGGCAGCATATCAAATTCAAGGATTTCTTTACAGTTATTACCTACCAATGGCTGAATTATTCATTTGATCTTGACCTGCAAAATGGGACATCAAGTCAATCTTTCCAACTCCTTGAGAGCCGATCAAGATAATCTTGAATGTATAATCCCATTCCTTCTTCGCCATTGTCTAAAAGCTCGTCCCAGCACAGGCTGCTCACACCAGAACTGCAATACTGTGGGGAAATCTGTTGTCAAGATTTGTGTAATGTTTCCTGTTCTACTGAACCTTATTGGCAGGAATCCTGACGTGGCTGTTCTCACACACCCAGTTTTAACTTATTTCTGTGCTCAGCTCTCTATCAAAAGATATCGGTTAGGTTTCTGCTAATAGTATTGTGTTGGGTTTTAGGCTTCCTATTGTAGAAAGGACATCACAGTCATAATAACAGCAGGCCTTGCAGTTGGTATAGCACCTAATCATGTTGTCGAGATGTCTCAAAGTGCTCACAGGATTTACTGTAAACTGTAGTCACTGTGTATTTTGTAAGGGAATAGCAATGTCCCACAAACAGCCACGATGTAAATTTTAACTGGGGGATTCCTAGCCAGGACACTGGGAGAAACTCCCTTCTCTTTTCAAATAGAGCCATGGGATACTTAACATCCCACTGAACAGACAGGTGGGACATTGAGTTACATTTCATCTGAAGGACGGCACCTCTGTCAAAGCAGCACTTTGCCAGCACTGCACTGGATGCCACCTTGCCTGTGAGTCTGTGAGTTCAAAGTCCTCATGTGGGGCTTGAACCCACAAATGTTTGACTTCGAGGCAACAGTACTAGTAACTGCAATGGTTGTCATGGAGCAGGTATAGTAGCAATTCACTTGGATGATAATAATAATCCTTACATTTGATATAGCGCCTTATCACGTCATCAAGCACTTCACAGGATTTACTATGTGAAGTGCAGTGACTGTGTATTGGACAGCAAGGATAATTATGTGGAAAGAGTTGAAAGGAGAGGCCTGTTTTTGTTGCAACAGAGAAGGTGAATTCAATAAAATGTTTTCCAAATTATGAACAGTTCTGATAGAGAAAGATAATGTCTGTTGAGCTATGGTAATTTGGTCTTGTTTGTTTCTTAGGTCACACCACCCTCTTGTGGCACATATTGTAATGCAGTTTTACAAGGAAAATAATAAAGATAATTGTTGCATTTTGGGAGGACGTCTCATAGCTCTTTGCATGTTTTAACTTATTTCTGTAATCGGCTTTCTGTGTAAAAGCCATTGGGAAAATGTAGTGATGTAGCAAACGCAGTGACGCAATTTTATCTGCAGGAGAAACTCTTTTCTCTTTTCAAACAATGCATGGGATCTTTAACGTCCAACTGCTATCCAGTAGCGCTAGTTTCTCCTGATATCCTTCTCAGCAATCCTCAAGATAAATTGGAAACTCTCCTACGCGATGGATGCTATATAAATGTAAGCTGTTGTTGTCGTTCATCACAAACGACTGCTGCCTTTGCCTACAAACGTACAGCTACTATGCAAGTTACCAATGAAGTGCTTTGACATGTGTTGGAGGCACTGTATTCAATGGAAAGATAATTGTTACTAGTTTAAGCTTACGCCAAACGCTGCTGAAATCCCCGTGCGTTCGGCCCCTCCTGCCTCAATTTGCCCAATGCACTTCTCATCGATCTCCCCAGCTTCGCTGTAAATAAGGTGCAGAACTCTTGCTGCCCACATACTGACCCGGACCAAACTCCGTCCCCACATCTCAGCTGCTGAACTTGCCAACAAATACACAGCCTGCAAATAAATACCCTTTACAAAGAAATCTACAAAAACCTTTGAGACATATCAACATTATATGTGCTGTGTCAAATGTAGGGATTATTTATTATCCATCAAATTAGCAGCAGTGAGACAGAGTTTATGGAAACAGCAGGGTCATCTCATTCAGACAGTGTGTTGACGTATTGCTTGCACAGTGCAGAGAAATGAAGCAGCCGTTTCCACTTGGCAAGGAGAGTCAGCGCTCGAGAAAACACGGGCCAACAATGTTGAGAAAGTTAATAAATGAGCCAAAGAATTGTAAGAAATGAACCTTTGAGCTGAAAGGGGTTGAAAGAGCTGCCATGTAGCACAATTGGAAAGTCACATCAACTTCATAGGCCAGCAGGAGCCAAAGAAACAAGGAAAGCTGCCTCACTGCCCGGGAATGGGTGAGCGGGTGGAGAGGGTTGGACGTTTTTGCTCTGCCCACGGCACAGAGTCAGCGTTTGTCAAAGTCACGAACGACATTCTCTCTATCTGTGACTAGGGATCCCTCTGCCTCCTCGTCCTCCTGGATCTCTCTGCCGCGTTCGACACATTGGACCACGCCATCCTCCTCGCTCGGCTCTCCTCTCCCTCATCTACTTTAATGGTACCGTACTCTGATGGTTCGAGTCCTGCTTAACAAACAACCTCCATTTCATCTCAGCAAATGGTTTCTCCTCCCATTCCCACCCGGTCACCTGCAGGATACCCCAACCTTGGCCCTTTTCTTTTCCGTATCTATATGATCCCTCTGGGTGATGTCATCCGCAGACACGGGGTAAACTTCCACATGTATGTGGATGACACACAAATCTACTTTGCCTCCTCCAGTACCAACTCCAGGTCCACCGATGTGCTATCAGCTTGTCTGTAAACTTCCTGCAGCTGAATATGGACAAGATGGAAGCCATCTCCAACCGCACAGCAGTGTCCCGCAAACAGTCATGAATTGAGCGACCAAATAAATTTTATTTTGAAGGAATTATTACCCCTGGAAAAGCAATCCGCCAATCAACTAACAAACCCAGGTCCTCTCACTTGCGAGGCGAGTGCTCTAACCACTAAGCTACAGGACCTGGGATGGAGGGATCAGGGGACATACAGTAGGCCTGTATTTACAATAATAATGCTTGCATTTCAAACTACACCTTCCACATTGAGAGAACATCGCAAAGCACTTTGCAGCATTTACTGTTAGGTGTGTGTCAGCCTGGCTCAATTGGTAGACTTTTGTCTCTGAGTCAGAAGGTTGGGAACTCAAGCCCCACTTGGGACTTGGAATTCATATAGTTTAGGCTGACACCTAATCTTGAGGTCTGAAATTTCACCTGCTCTTAGGCTCGAGACCATGGTTTTAAAATTTAACATCGCACAAAATGTTAGACAATTCTTTAAATTTAGTTTTTAAATTCTGTTTGACCACATTTCTTGTTAATTAATAATGGGAGTAAGCTGTCAGGAGATGGGGCCACATGATACACAGAGGAAAGTCCACCTGACAAAAAAAAAAATCATTCTTGTTCTTCTGTACAGATCAATAATAGATCTGTTCCTGTTAACAAATGCCCTGGCTACATGGTGATGAGTATGAGATTTTGGATTGGTTTGGTAACATGTACTTACCTTTAAAAATGGACTTCACTGGAGATCTCTCATCTCATGAGCATCACAGTCACTGGGGGCAAGGATTCATCCTAATCAGTTCCTGTTAACCCTGCAAGTCAAAGCCCTAATGGGTAAGATGATCCTAGCTGGACAGGAATCTTGCCAGAAGTGCTCTAAATGACAAACAATGCGATTTTAACTGTTTAAACTCCAACAGTTCCTCCCAACGTGTACTTTGTGGTCCCCAAGTCTTGGCTTATACCAACCTGTGCTTTATATTCTCCACAATTAGATAAGCAGCATGCATTCCATTCCAGTCACAGGGAAATTTCCAAGTGGCAGTGGCATACAAAGGTCCAAGTCTGATTTGGTTACATGGTGAGGAGGTTCACATGTGTCAGACGTCTGGCTAAACAAAAAGAAAACGAGCATTGCAGATTTCCTCACTTCCTAAACCACAGTGTCACTCTTACCACAATCCAAACTCCTCCGCAGATCAGCTTCCAGGGCTGATATGTGAGAATGTTGGGGCAAGCTATCATATCTTACACCTCGGGGCAAACAAAAGCCAATTTGGATAAACAAAGCGATGAGAGTCAAGACCGGCAACAAGTTTGGATAAGATACAACATGAGTTCACACGGCCAGAGAATCTGCTTAATATCAAATCGTTCCAAAGCAATGGATGTTTACTTTAGATGCAAAGCCAACCGAGGAGAGGAAAACAAACGTGTAGCGTGCGAAAGAATTGACAGGAGCTGGCCCGATGGCCTGAAAACTGGAGATTAGGCAGTGAGCGTGGGAGAGATGGAGAACATGCAATGAGTGTGTCAGAGGTGGAGAACCAGTGGTAAGTGTGTTAGAGAGGTAAAGAAGAGGTGGTAACAACAACAACAACAACAAAATTACATTTATAGAGCGCCTTTCACGTCGGGAGGATGTCCCAAAGCGCTGAACAGTCAGGTATCGGGGCCCGAGCATGGGGGAGGGGTGGAGTAGGGGTGAGGGAAGGCAGAGAGGTGGGAGGGAGACCAAAGGCAAGGTCGAAGAGAAGGGTCTTGAGACCGGCCTTGAAGGAGGCAAGGGCGGAAGCGAGGTGAAGGGATCGTGGGATGGAGTTCCAGAGTGTGGGGGTAGAGAGGCTGAAAGCCTGGCCACCGATGGTAAGGCGGGTCGGGCGGAGATATAGAGCAGGCTGGAGCCCGATGAACGGAGGGAGCGGGCAGGTTGGTAGGGAGTCAGCAGATCAGAGAGGTAGGAGGAGGCAAGGCCATGGATGCCTTTAAAGGTAAGGACGAGGATCTTGAACTCGATCCTCTGGGGGATGGGGAGCCAGTGGAGTCGGGCGAGGGTGGTAGTGATGGGGTCGCGGAGCCTGGTGCATGAGAGTACACGAGCTGCAGAATTTTGGATGATCTGCAGCTTGTGAATGGAAGAGTTGGGAAGGCCGATGAGGATGGAGTTCCCGTTATCAAGCCTTGAGGTGACGAATGCGTGGGTGAGGGTTTCGGCAGCCTGAGGGGTGAGGCAGTGGCGGAGTCTGGCAATGTTGCGGAGGTGGCGGTAGGCAGTGCCAGTCATGTCGCGGATGTGGGGGAGAAAGGATAGTTCAGGGTCAAACAAGACACCCAGGTTCCTGACTGGCTTAGTGAGGTTGAGTGTGCAGCCGTGGAGGCTGATGCTGCCAGCGCCTGAGGTGCGGAAGCGCTGGCGCGAGTCAATCAGGAGGGCCTCAGTCTTGCTGATGTTGAGTTGGAGAAAGTTGGCCCTATTCCAGGACTTGATGTCGGACAGGCAGTCGGTCAGGATGCCAGTAGTCCTGAG